ACCAAATAATAAATTAATAATTCCGGTAATTGACTATTGACTAGATTTAGTGATGGAATCGTTAACTGCCAGACACTGCCAACTAATTCACTCCTAAGCGAGCGATTAGTTCATCAAAAATATATTTTATATAATATATTAGTGAAGCGATGAATAGAAGGGAAACAATGAATTCAATTGAATTCATTTGCGAATGAGTCCTCTGGCCTGAGGGAAGGACTGATTGGCACTCGCAGTGTCCGGCCGTGAGTATAAATTTCGAGACGAACTCCGATTTGATATCTTAAGCGCAGTTAACGGACGCAAAATATTGCCGTTTGACTCATTTTCCTTCCCTTTTCGACGAGAAGTCGGCGCAGGAATTGTACTGAAAAGACAACCAAATATTTCATTCAATTGAATCTAAAAGTATTTCAAACAATCCAATGGTTTACCTGATCTCGACGTCAATATCGTCTTCGCGTTTGAGTGCGTTGTCGAGCGCAGCCCTCACTCTCGGTGATAATCTGGGAGCCGTATAGTCTTTGGTGGTTCGGCAACTCATCTCGAGTTCGCAGTCCATTATATTCTCACACCTATACCTCACGCCAGCGCTCACTTCGGCGGCCAATCGGGCGAATTCTGAGATGGGATAGCGATATCCGGCGCAAGAATTGGGTCGTTTGCATACATTGCTGTCGACGCTCGACGTCTTCATTATCTTCCAATTCTCTTCGTCCTCATCGAAGACAATACGACTCAAGAGTTTATTTTTCTCATCGATTGGTATAAAGTTGTCGATAACCATGTATTTGAGTTTCAATTCCTTCATGAGTTCGTTTTGCATATTTTCCAACTCTCGTCGTTCGCGTCCATTCGCTTCCATCACATCTTTGGTCTCCGTTTTAATTGATTGCAATTTTGAAACCAATTTCTTTAATTTTCTTCGCTTAGACTCCACTTCGTGTTGAAGTGATGTAAACGTCTCTCTAATCTCGAGTACAGTCTCCTCCTGTTCTTCCAATCGCTGCAACATTTCTCTCTCCCGTCGCTTCTGAGCCATCAGTTCCTTACTCTTGAGCTCTAATTCCATCTGTTGTTGATTCGTGTGATCGACGATATTCTTGCCGCCGACCAATAGCTTGCTTTCCATGGCTTTAATCTTTGCCTGAAGTTTTTCGGCCGCTTCGGTGTCTATTTGAGGCCCCGTTTCGGACACAGGAGTAGTCGACTGATCGTCGCTTATATTACCGGACAATCGGTTCTCTTTTCGGCGCCTCTTTTCGATGAGTTGTTGTTTCAGTTTTTCAATCTCTGACTGAAACTCTCTGAGCAGTGCGTCCTTCGGGTCCTCATTAACGCGCGGATTATTCTTAATATTCTTGGCTCTGTTGGCATACCTGAGGGTTGTGAGCGACTCCTCGTAGTTATAGCTCGCGGGCCCGATGTTGGCCACCATCACTGTCTTCGCGTTGCCGCCCAACGAGTCCTGCAATAGACGCGTCAACTTTGAGTCCCGGTATGGGATGTGAGTACTCTTGCCGTCGACCAGCGATGAGATCACATTTCCCAACGCAGACAGCGATAGATTAATTTTGATGGCCTCCTTCTGCCGCTGGCCCACAGTTCCCGTCTTCGCCTGTCTCTCACTTCCGGCCAAATCAACTAAATTTAATTTCCCGACTCTTATGTGATTCTGTCCGTCGACCCCAACCTCCGAGTGCTCTATAGTTATGATGAATATAGCGTGAGATCGAGACGAGTGTTCATTCATATTAGTGGCGCCGACACTACGGTTTTGGTGACCGCAAGACATCACGTGTTCGATCTCTTTGATTGATTTGCACACAAACGACGACAAGTCCTTCACGTAAACGCCAATATCGGGCCTCTCTTTAAGCTCTAGTCGTAAGCTCTGGTCTTTGGAGAGCAGATCCCGAACCTCCTCCTGATATATCTCCAGATAAGAACTTCTGACCAAATATTGTTGATTATGTGATCGCGCGATACAATTGAAGATCTGTTCAAAAGAGTTGGGAATAATTCCCGGTTTGTCAGCCGAGCCCTCCATTGTGAACGTCTTTCCGGTGCCGGTCTGGCCGTAAGCGAAGACCGTTCCGTTGAAGCCCTCCAACACTGAGTCCACTAATGGCCGGAATATCTCTTCGTAGAGATCCGTTTGGTTTGAATTCCAGTCNTTGGAAGAACAGGAGGAGACTGTACTCGAGATTAGAGAGACGTTTACATCACTTCAACACGAAGTGGAGTCTAAGCGAAGAAAGTTAAAGAAATTGGTTTCAAAATTGCAATCAATTAAAACAGAGACCAAAGATGTGATGGAAGCGAATGGACGCGAACGACGAGAGTTGGAAAATATGCAAAACGAACTCATGAAGGAATTGAAACTCAAATACCTCGTTATCGACAACTTTATACCAATCGATGAGAAAAATAAACTCTTGAGTCGTATTGTCTTCGATGAGGACGAAGAGAATTGGAAGATAATGAAGACGTCGAGCGTCGACAGCAATGTATGCAAACGACCCAATTCTTGCGCCGGATATCGCTATCCCATCTCAGAATTCGCCCGATTGGCCGCCGAAGTGAGCGCTGGCGTGAGGTATAGGTGTGAGAATATAATGGACTGCGAACTCGAGATGAGTTGCCGCACCACCAAAGACTATACGGCTCCCAGACTATCACCGAGAGTGAGGGCTGCGCTCGACAACGCACTCAAACGCGAAGACGATATTGACGTCGAGATCAGGTAAACCATTGGATTGTTTGCAATACTTTTAGATTATAATTGAGTGAAATATTTGGTTGTCTTTTCAGTACAATTCCTGCGCCGACTTCTCGTCGAAAAGGGAAGGAAAAGGAGTCAAACGGCAATATTTTGCGTCCGTTGACTGCGCTTAAGATATCAAATCGGAGTTCGTCTCGAAATTTATACTCACGGCCGGACACTGCGAGTGCCAATCAGTCCTTCCCTCAGGCCAGAGGACTCATTCGCAAATGAATTCTATTGAATTCATTGTTTCCCTTGTATTCATCGCTTCACTAATATATTATATTAAATATATTTTTGATGAACTAATCGCTCGCTTAGGAGTGAATTAGTTGGCAGTGTCTGGCAGTTAACGATTCCATCACTAAATCTAGTCAATAGTCAATTACCGGAATTATTAATTTATTATTTGGTTTTTCGCTTCCAATTAACGTTATTTATATTTAGGAAAATTAATAATTGAATTGTTATTTGAAATTTTAATTTATATTTTAGTTTTAACCGTTGTTTTTATATTTAGTACTTAACAAATTGTGATTAATTTTAATTTAATTTTAAACTAAATAAACTATTTATTAAATAATTAATGCGTTGATTATTACGTTATAAAATCTGGTAAATACTGTCTAAAAAGTGGTTACTTTTCAAGTTATTTCATGATTTAATTGCAAAAACAGTTAACTGTTGTGTTGTTAATAAATCATTAATTGTTTATTCAATGAATTGTAAATATAGTGAAATAATTTGAACGAATAATAATATAATAATACAATAATAATAATAACTATTAATATAAATATAAATACAAATAATTACAAAAATGACATTCTTGTCAAATAAAACTGATTAAAATATTTATAAATTTAATTAAAATATAGTTTTAATATTAACTTATATTGAATGTGAAAAGTGTGCGAAAAGAGCTAATAATACATAAGGAGTGCCAAAACAATAACCAATAATAGATGCGGACCTCAGATAACGATCGATTCTGCGGACAGAAGTAATTGACATTTCATTCATATGATAGAAGCGGGAAGTTTGTCAAACACTTCACATGTGGTCGACTTAGCCGTCAAAGACGTCAAACTACCTCTCCTTTTGGGTAAAGCGCTGCCACTATTGTTGGCATTCATTTCGGAGCAGCCGTTATGCATCAGTAGATCCACTACTTCTTTATGGCCCGATGTCTTCGCGTAAAACAGGGCTGTCTTTCCGTCCGAATCGATGGCTGAGACGTTTGCGTTGTGCTAATCATTACACAGAATGCAAGTTAATTATAGATTATATACATATTTGTAAATCATATGAAAACATACCCAAAGTAATAGCTGAACGACGGAGAGAGAGCCGCGACCCGACGCCAAATGTAACGGCGTTTTCACTTCTCTTGTATAGAAAGAGATGTTTTGGTCTTTAGGCGAAAAGTGGGCCAAAATTAAGGACAACAGTTTGGTGTCGGACTTGAGAATGGAGTCAATGAGTTGGTGTTCAATACGTGTGATGTCAGTAATCGGTGCCAAGAAGTCCTTCGATTCATATTTAGATCTAATCCATCGTTCTTTCTCTTCACGGCTCGAATTGGGCGTCGGTTTAGCCCTTCCTCTCAGATCGTACTCCCAAAGAGAGTTGACTGCAGTGTTGCCCAAAGCCATCATTACAGCGATATGTCCCGCACTAACACAATAACACCATTTATTGTAATTGCAATTCATTTAGTAATCATTATTGAAACATACGGCCAGTCATCCAAAGCAAGTGATCTGACTTTAGAGATATGTGTCCCGAGATTTCGATGAATTCCCGAACACTCAATACATATGAGAGCACCCAAATTGAGTGACGACCAGTCGGGGTCTGTTAAACAAGCATTATATCAATTAAATATCACTAATCATAGAAATAAGACAACAATGTATTACTCGGTGAATCGCAATCCACGCAATATTTATTCCCGGGAACCGTTCGTATGGACTGAATGGCCGAATCGTCGACAGAAGTGCTGTTTTTATATTTGGATTTTTCATTTTCCATATTCTGAAGACTGGAGAGTATCTGTTCCTCAATAGCGGTGACCCAGTGTTCGCGTTCGTCGGCACTGTTGGCGTCGAAGTGCCAGTGCTTGTTCTCCAACGACACGATCACAAACTCGTAACCGTCCGAATCGTCAACCGAGTCGTTGTTCTTACTGTTGCCGCTCTTTGTCTTACGATTGCGTTTCTTAACACTTGACTCTGACTTTGGGTTTGTGATCGGCATTAATCGGTGTTCGCCGTCGCCTGACATACAAAAACCACATTTATGTTAAACAATATAAATCATACAATAATAATACAACAGTACCTATCGATAATGAGTTGAGATCTGGAGTACAATCAGTGTTGTGTTGAATAGGAGAGGGCGTGGGATGAGAGGGTCGAGAGCCTCTGGGCTTCTGTCCGGGGATTTTGACGGTTGTGTGCTTTAAAGGAATGTCTTTGCCGTGAGTCTCGTCCATATAGTCGTGAAGAGTCGGGTGATACGTAAGCCGGCCGTCGGCGGTAAGTGTCACGTACTTCTTCTTCCAGTCTTTATTGAGAGTTTTAACACTTTTCTTATAAAGATATCCCTGTTTGATGGGAATGGCTCGACCGCTGCCCACTTCTCCTGTTTTGTACTTGTCTTCCAAATGCTTTTTGTTACTGAGGGGTGGGAAGAGGTTTGAACGCCTCCTAGTCTTTCTAGTGGTAGTGGGGGTAGAGCTGGGAGTCGGCAGATCTTTGGTCTCTTTATGGACAGTAAGGGTCGGCTGTACTGAATGATCAGCTGATGATTTGAGCGCAGTTTTAGCCGATTCTGTGACTTTAGACTCGACTCGTTTGGGTGGAAGCGGACCGAAGTCTTTGGTCGGCTTCTGATTAAATGCATTATTATTATTGATATTTGGTTTCAGATTTGTTTTGTTTTGACTATTGTTTAGATTTGTTATTTGAGTGATTTGTTGTTGAGTGGAAACAATTGTATGGTTAGGGGATGTGATGAGAGGCTTAACCGATGGGTTATTATTGAGTCCATTAGATGTCTGAGAAGGTGTGACAATGGAATTGAACTGTCGATAGAAACCTAGAGAGCTCGGAGTGTTTGGCCGAGCGTTAGCTGCGGCGACGGACGAGTCGTTAGTCCTGTTTTGAACGATCCTTTGACACGCTATCAATCAAATCATAGAAATATTAGATACAGTGTTAAAGCGATTCAAGCGTGACATCCATCACAGCATACATACCGTCGTGAAATACTTTCTCCACATTCAAGCCATATGTGGCACACGTCTCATAATAGGAGCATCTCTTTAAATCTGAGGCCAGTTTTCGGGCTCTGTTCTCATCGATTAGACGCGGATTGCTTTCGCTTATGGCGTCTGATATTAAACCATAAAAAAGACAATTAAATAGTCATTTGGCAAATCATTGACAACTCTTTCAATGAGTCATCAAAACATAATTAAAGTTAATGAATGGTTGGATGCAATGGGTTTCCTGTCAGAAATTGTTTTGGCAAATAAAGCAATATTTATACCTTGAGTGCCGACGAGAAATATAGGAATGTCTGATGAGTTTCTATTGTGAAACATCTTTGTGTAGTAATTATATATAGCGTTAAATGAGGTCTCGTTTTCGAGACTGAAGACAAATATGACGGCATCGACCCAACAGCTGAACTGCAATCACATAACAATTCAGAAAAACAATTTTATTATAATCAAAATATTTGTGTTTCATTTAAACTTAAACAATAAATTATAACAATTATCAAAATAAACACAATTATATTTAGTTTAATGTAATGGTTATGACAATTAATAAAACTGTGGCTAATTTTACAATAGAGTGGTAATTGTATGCAAAGTGTGTCAAACCTGCATCTCTGGAGGTCCTCCTTCATCGCGGATCAGAAGCAGATGGCTTTGACCGTCAATTATAACCTCCTTCTTGAATCGGCCGCCTTCGGGCGACTCGTCCTGAAGGTAAGACCCCGTTAGGTAGCGGTGCACGAGAGCCGACTTTCCACTCGTCAAACTCCCAACTATTCCCTACATTTCATTGTTATTAAAATTATTACATTTGAAATCAAACTTAAAATTTAACTCTAATATTGATTATTATAAGAAAATTGTATACAATTATTGGATTTACCAATACATCATAATTAAGAGATAATTATACAAACAAGTCATCTAATGATGCAAAACAATAGCGAAATAATTAACGAATAAATAAAGTTTGTTATAACTTACGAGACGGAGATCAGGAACAGCTCTGCTTAGTGTCCACTCTTGACTGTTGACAAACGAATCTAAAAATATATATTAAATTAACAAACATTTTTATATGCTTAAAATTAAGTGCAATTTATATGTTTTATTTCATTGTATTAAAAGCTAAACATTTAATAGTTTTGAAAGTAAACCATAAAACCAGATGAAAGTAGATTTCACAAAAATTTAAGTCAAAAAATGACAGATTTATAACAAATGTTTAATATCGAGAGCATGTCTACCATTAATAGTATTTAACTTCCATTTCTTAGATCTCTTGGAGAGCCTCAGAGATCTGCGACCGACGGAGAAGGCAGTGGCGAGGATTGGCATCACTAATACATTCGTCAATCAATAGTTTATATAACAATTTCTAAACATTTCTCTCGTTTCGTCGATTTTTTTGACAGAATTATAAATAGATTTCACAAATTCACAGAATATTGAAATTTATGAAATATTTTCTTTGAATATACTTTCAAAACACAATATAAGTCTATAATCGGCTTAAATGACACAATAATTGCACAAATTTATCCAATTTTGAAATTTCATTTAAACACTTGTGAGTTATCTTTTGAAAGCAGAAATAAAATCCAAAATATGAATTGCTTTTAAGATGTGATCATAGATTTGTTCATTAAAACTAAGTTTAAGTTCATTGTACGGGATATACATTTCATCGGTAATGATGTGACTGAGAGATGGATTTGACAAATGAATTACTCAATACAAAACAGTATACAGTAAACAGTAGTTTATTTATTTCACTTAATTTATCTCAAATATAACTTTTAGGAAACAAAAGCACCAAAAATACACCATTTTTCGTGTGAATCAAAAAAGGTTTTGAGATTTAATTTATTTTTGATGAAACAAAACAACAAAAAACAATTTTTTAAATCAATTAAACTCAAAGGCAAAGCCACACAATATTTATATAACTTTTAATTAAAATTTTAAAATCCAAATCCAATTCATTAAATGTCATCAAATGTTATAATTTATATGCACTATAAATGTATTGCCAATAATGTGTATGAAAATAGCAAACATTGAAATTCTTTGGCAATTATATCAAAAGAAACAAAAAGTTTGATTCAATGGTCAGGTTATGTGGAGCTCATGGAAGAAGTTTTTGTGAAGTGAACCACAAATGCATTGAATGTTTGCATTG